CTGTAAAACAGCAATTATGCTGAGTCAGGCTTGATTTTTAGTAATCTTTTCCTGTTAAATCAATAAATCAAATCAAATCAATCAATTAAAGCTCATAATCTTACCACTTGAAACATCACTAGCCCTGAAGCTGCTGGTAGACATCGCGGTTGGAATTATCAAAGGTTTTTGACACCTGAGAGACACCGTAGCAACTCCTTTGTGTTTGGAAGCGGGGAGTGGGGGTGGGGGGAGGACCAGGGAGGATGATTCAACCACTCAACCACTAGATGTCACTGAAAACAACAAATCCTTAACACTGTGCCTTTAATTTGTTCTTTTTTTATTTGCTCAATGTATCATTGAGGTTGATGCCACCTAATTGTTGGTGGCAGTTCAGCAGTTATTTGTTGCTTCTGTGAACAGATTTTTTTTGCTGTCAAAAGAAAAGGAAAAAGAAATGCTTGAAAATGCAAGAACATCACAGGAGACTTACGTGCGTGAGTCAAGGCTTTTCTGTAAAGACAACTGTTCCCTTTGCAAGCATGAGAGCTCAAACTGCTGTCAGCACACAGTTGGGTGGCGTGAAGACGATTTATATGCTCTGAATCAGCCTGCATATTCAGAACAAAAACACACACATAAAAGACACCTTCTGCAAAAAGAAGCCAATATTGTGAAATCCACAACAAAACCAAAAGATCAGAATATGTTCAGACTGCATATCCTGTTTAGATATGCAGTCTGACTCTATCTGAACAGCAGAAAGAAGCCAGTTTAATCTCACACAACACTCACCACAAGTTGCACTCTGCCTCCACTCAGAATGACTGAGTTTATCTCCGGTAAGAACCGTTCACTAAGATAAAAGGAAAAAAGTTTATCAATACTCATATATCTACATGTGTTTCACATTAGTCTTCTGTCCGGTGCCAAGTGTAATAAAATCTAACATTGAAAATAGTGACATTTAACTGGTTCTCCATAAAGCACTGTGTTGCTTCAGCAGTGTGTTTAGGTCGATGTTCTGTTGGAAGATCAACCTCCATCCAGTGAAGCAATAAGTCCAATAAGTTTTCCTCAAGAATTTTTTTTTACATTTTGTGCCATTAGTCTTTTCTTTTACTATGATCATTTCCTCAGTCTTGCAAACAAAAGACATCTCCCCAGCATGATGCTGCCACCACCATGCTTTACTGTGGAGATGGTGTTTTCAGCATAATAAAAGGTGATGGGTTTACTCCATGATGTTGATGCAGAACAAGTTCATTTTTTTTTTGTTTCATCTAATCTCAACAGCTTCTTCTACATGGCCGGGCTGCCTCCAATAAGCCTTATGGAAAAATTCAAACAGTCTGCCTTATTTTTTTCTTTAAGTAATTTTTTTTCCTGCCAGTCTTCCTTGAAGCCACACATGTAGTTTAGTGTGGCCCTATAAACCAGTATCCCCATCCCTGCAGAAGAGCAGTTCAGCCAATGGATGCAGTCAAGTTTTGTAGATGTTTGGAGTTTGGGATATTTTTCTTTCAGAACCTAATCCTGATCGGTGTTCTTCACAGTTTTGTCTCTGACCTGTGTGGACAGTTCCTTGGCCTTCATGATTTCACTTGCTTGGTAAAAGCCCTTACTACTTAGAGTTGAACTGCCATTTATTATGGGGCCAGTAGAACCTTCAGAAGCCAATTGTTTTGATAAATACATATACTATTTTTAGTTTTAGGTTGGGTTGTTTATTATTAAAATAACCCCCACTCCAGTATATTATAATCATTTTAGAGTATTTTGTTTAAGTTCCGTTAGTTATGGAAATATAACAAAAGTACCTTTAAATTATGTGTTGTAACGCAACAAAACAGAAACCCTGTCAAGGTGTGTAACACTATTGCAACTCATCGTATAGGTCTGAAGGAATCTCCATCTCCATCTGTTTCCACTGATCCATAGTCGGGTCGCGGAGGCAACAGGTCCAGGGTAGACCTTCCCCGGGGCCTCCTAGTGGGGCGTGTCCAGAACACCTCTAAAGGGAGGCGTCCAGGAGGCACCATAATCCGATGCCCAAATCACCTCAACTGACTCCTTTTGATGTGGAGGAGCAGCGGCTCTACTCCGAGCTCCTCACCCTGTCTCTAAGGCTGAGCCCGGCCACCCTACGAAGGAAGCTCATTTCTTGCATCAGGGTCATGATTTACGCCTCATGACCATAGGTGAGGGTTGGAATGAAGACAGACCAGTAAGTCGAGAGCTTTGCTTTTCCACTCAGCTCTTGCTTCACCACCACTGACCAACGCAACGCCCTCATTACTGAGGACGAGGCCCCAATCCGTCGATCCATCTCCATCCTACAATCACTCATGAACAAGACACACAGATACTTAAACTTCTTGAGGCTGAAGGAATCCCAAACTGAAATATTTTATCCATTTTTATCAGTTTTTAAGTTTATTCTTTCTAAGTCCTCGTAAGTTTAGCTAAACTTCTGCCAGAGCTTTGCATTAATTTATTTTCTATACTTGTTAGGTAAGTTTATTTAATCACTTAGAAAAACTAAAAAGGTCCAAACACAGCATGTTTTGTGATGTATGAAGCTTCTCACCTATTTGAGTGTCGGTCAGACTGAGCAGCTCCTCCACTTTTCCCACATATTTGCTCGGTTCTCTCTGCCTGCTGAAGACCTGCCTCAGTCTCACCAACTGCATGCATAAAAACAAAATAAAATAAAAAACAAAAGCTATAACTTTATCTATCTTGTTGGTTACAGTAAGTCACATTTTTTAAAAACTTGCAGTGGTGGGATGTAACTAAGTACAAGTACTTTCTTGCTGTACTTAAGTACATTTTTCATGTATCTGTACTTTACTTAAGTAGATTTCATCATGGATACTTTTGACTTTTACTCCACTACATTTTACATTAAGTATCTGTACTTTCTACTCCACTACATTTCTGTAATGTGTTGAATTACAAAGTACATTCATGTCACGTCGATTTATTTTTTATTTAATTTTATTTATGGTTTATTTGATTAATTTTTTGTTAGAAAATAATCAGTGGCGAGAGGGGAATTGCTGTAATTGGTCCATTGAACAAAGCAGGAAAGTACCATTACACCCTCCTTCATAAAGAAGCAGAGCATCAGCATGCCCACAATGGTTTCCACCACGGAGGAAATGTGCCATTCATGGCCTTATTTAACTGGTTCAAAAAATGACTTGTTGAGATTTGATAGAGGAGGTTGGTGGTGAATTTACATCTTCTGCAGCTGTTGTCACAATATGTGATGATGCACAGAATCACAAGTCCAAGTGTGAACAGTGTCACGGAGTGTAAACACAAAACTATGCATTATCTGCACCATTGTTCACTAAAATGGCACCATTGATGTATTAAAATATACATACAGTAGGCACACTTCATGATATTGTAGACCATTAGGGAATATATTAAGCAAGTACTTTTACTTTTAATACTTTAAGTATTTTTAAAAGCAAGTACTTACTTACTTTTACTCAAGTGAAATGTTAATGTGGTACTTTTACTTTCACTAGATCAGTGGTTCCCAAACTTTTTGTCTTCTGACCCACAAAATATCCCTGGCAAAACCTTGTGACCCCAAATATTACTGGTCTGAGTACACAAACGTYGTTAATAACCCTAAAAACACAGGMTTTTTGACAAACTAAACAGCTTGTACACAAATATAAATACTTATTDTTACTTATTTTGTGTTTTTGTAATAATTATAGAGAAAATATTACATCAGCAATTATTTTATTACTCTTTAAATTGATTTCTGGAGATAATCCAAGGTGCTTCATGACCCATAATTGGGTCCCAAGCCCAACTTTGGGAACCAAAGTGCAGTGGTTCCCAAACTTTTCAGCTTTTGACCCACAAAATAACAGTAGCAGAGACCTGTGCCCCCAACTGTTTTTGGATGATAAACATTTGTATCAGGTCAACTAAACATGGGCATAGTAACAATATTTTTATACTACATTTATCCATTTTAAATATACTAACCTCACTCCTTTGTAACAACTAAGGCAAAAATGTAATTAGTTCAGAAAATCTTTTCAGGACCCCACCTTGATGTTTCAGGACCCCACTTTGGGTCCCGACCCCAACTTTGGGAAACACTGCACTAGAGTACATTCTTGTCTGTTTATCTGTACTTTTACTTAAGTACAGTGTTTGAGTACTTTCTCCACCACTGAAAACTTGTAACTCAGACCGAGCATGGTTTTAGACGGCAGCAGGTGTATTTAAATCTGCAGTGAAAATGCTGAATAAACAGTTTTTCGCCAGAGTACAAATGTCCACAAAACAAAATGGTCAAGGGCTTCTTTTGTGGACAGGATTTGTCTTGTTCCGTTGTAACTACAGCTGGTCAGGTTTCTCTGCACAGGGACGGATCGGTGGTCAAATCTTTCAGTGGTTGTGACGGGCTGATTTATTTAACTTAGAGGACTCCGATTCAAAGGGCTTTGCATTTACCAACATCCATGTGAGTACTTGTGGTTCTCCGAGAAGTTGAATCAAAACAGTGGTGTTCACAATCCGAATCCCACAATAAAGCTGTATTTCAAAGTAAACATTTATGCTGCAGTGACAGTAAAGCTGCAGTGGATGGGTGTAAACTGATAATGAAACCTGACAGCCTAACACTGGAACTAATGACGCATTTATTTAAGCCATTTACTTGCTTTTGAGGAGTTGTTAAAAAAAAGAGAAAAGCTTTACAGTTTTCATGGCTTAATTGAAAAGCTCCACTAAAAATGTCAAGTGATGGATGTTTCCCCCCGGGCCAGCAAAGGCCAGGAAATAGCTACATGCACTTCCTAAAGCTGAGAGAGGCACAGGGAGCGTGTGCAGTCTGACTACCTCCAGTGAAATCTTTTCAAAACAGCTGCTTTCTCTTATACTGTTCTACTTAACTCACTGAACGAGCCAAACATTTACTTTGAAATTGTTTTTAAAAGAGTAAGTCATATTACAGGGATAGAAGAAAGGCTGCTAATGGTAATTTATAATCATTGCGTTGCTACAGTCAGTCATAATGACTTCCATGTAAAAAAAAAAAGACTACATTTATGTTGTACTCTGGTAACATAAAGGACACCCCACCCCCTTTCTTCCTTTCCCCAGAAGCCCCAACTATAAGCTTCTTCCTGACCTCCTTCAACCTCCTAAATCCCCCTCTAGTACTCCTCCAGGACATCAAGATGGGGCCTGTAGGAGTCATGCCTATTAAAGGGGCTCTTAAGCACATTAACTGATCTCGTCTCCCTTGAAGAGCTGAGGTCTCAGTATCAGAAAGCTGAGGGGGAAGAGGAAGGTAGGGTTTGGTCACCAGCTAACTAAAGTGGGCACAAGCTGACTGCAGAAACAAACACTGGGTTGAACATTGGATCAAGACTAAAGCAGATGTCCCGATGCATCTCAGTAATCCAGGTAAAAAATCAAAAAGAAAAAAATTGTATAGGTCCTCTGGACGGGTTCTTCTCTAACGAAATGTTTCGTCTCTCCTCCAAGAGACTTCTTCAGTCTGAGAGTTTCAGGCAAAATTCAGGCTTTTAAGCACTGCCTCCATGTGACTGATACTCACATCACAAGGCTATCGTTGACACCTAATTAACACCTATTGTTAACAGGGGGTGGAGTGATACTGGCAATAGCAGCACTGTAGGAGGGGGACAACTGAAAACAGAGGCCTCCACCTCTGTTTAATGATGGACGGTCTTTCTTCACAAAAATGGCTTCTTTTACTCCTCTCTCAAACCAACGTTCCTCTCTATCAAGAATGAGAACATCCTCATCTCTGAAAGAGTGACCGCTGGCCTGTAAATGAGTGAAAACTGCAGAGTTCTGGCCATTAGATGTAGCTCGTCTGTGTTGGGACATTCTTTTGAACAGTGGCTGCTTTGTTTCCCCGATGTATAACTGGTCGCAGTCCTCCTGGCACTTAACAGCATATACAACATTGCTCTGTTTGTGCCGGGGCACCGGATCTTTGGGGTGAACCAGCCTTTGCCGTAATGTGTTTTGGGGTTTGAAAGCTACTGGGACATCATGTTTAGAAAATAAATGTCTCACTTTCTCCGAAACACCCGCAACATACGGAATAACCACTGGTTTGGGTCTGGGTTTGGGGTCTTCATTGTCACCTGAAGGTTACATGGAATCCTGTCTGTGTTTCCTGTCTGCTTTCAGGAAAGCCCAGTCAGGATAACCACACTGCTCCAGGGCCTGTCGTGTGTGTGATTTCTCTTTCTCCCTGGCTCCTGGGTTTGTAGGGACACTGTCTGCTCTGTGGTACAGAGTCCTGATCACTCCTAACTTGTGTTCCAGTGGGTGGTGGGAGTCAAAACGCAAATATTGGTCTGTGTGGGTGGGCTTATGATATACGCCAGTTTCCAACCGTCCTCCATCCGAAACCGAGACATCGCAATCCAGGAACGCCAACCAGCCATTTTTTACATCCTCTCGTGTGAACTTAATATTTTCATCCACAGAGTTGATGTGATCAGTGAAATGTTGGACTTCCTGGGCTTTAATTTTAACCCAGGTGTCGTCAACATATCTGAACCGATGACTCGGTGGCACCCCTGAAAAGGACATCAAGGCTCTCTTTTCCACTTCCTCCATGYACAGGTTTGCAACAATAGGAGAAACTGGGGATCCCATTGCACACCCATGTTTCTGCCTATAATATTGCCCCCCGTACGTGAAGTAGGTTTGAAAGAGCTCAGAAATGCTTGACTGCATGTATTTGAACATTAACTGAATAACAACTGAAGTGATTCAGATAAATGTGAATAAACTAATAAAGGACATGGTAAGACACTAACGGACAATGGTTTAAAGGACAAAATGTCCTGCAGAAGTTTCAGCCATCAGATTTTTGGTATTTAAGGAACTGATTTAATCTCTCAAAGCAAAGATCCAGCTACCGCTGGCAACAAAGTTTAGTTTGTCCTAATCCCTTTTTATTGTCACAACCATCATAACTGGGAATGCTCTGTTTGACACAGCCTTGGACACTGAGCAGCAGTGATGTCTTTATGTAATGCCACAGTTTTGCTCCATTGTTCAAACCAGTGTTATTGGAAGAAAACATTCTCATTGGTAAAACGTGGCTGTTAACTAGACTCTGACGAGAAAAATAGCGTTAGAAATTGTTTCACTCGTGCATGATGAGACAAAACCCTTTTTTCATTTGTAATATAACTGAAACAACCTGCTAATATAGACTACTGTCACAGACTTTTGAAACAAGTTGTACACAAGAGTGGGAGAAACGCATCTTGAGCAGTATTTGAGTATTCTCGTTTTTATCATATTCATAAACGAGAAGAAAAATCCGAGGATGTCCGCAATTTGACGTGTTTAAAGTTGAATGTTTGTGTCTGTCAGTGCCTCAGACTTTCTCAGTATATAAGCCCTGCACGTCTCTTTGAGTGCCAGTGCTCCTTAAACATAGCCCAATAGCAGAGAGCTTTCCACTGCCCGACACTGTAAATAGATCATAAATTGAATACACATGAGTGATGGTAAACGCTCTAAGACTGAGATATTTTGGAAGGTCTGTGATAAACAAAGAGATTGTGTTACAGTTTGACTTTGTTGATGACATGAAAGTGTGAAATCGAGTTAAGTACTCAGGAGGTAGGGGTTCCAGGGTGGAATAAAAATACATCTCCCTGTGTCTGTGTGACTTCAGCGCGGATGTTTGGTGGGGTTTGAAATTGAATGGAAGAGTGCAAAAGAGTGCGCCTGCGGCATCGGTGGAAAGTGTTGGTGGAAAGAGTAAAGATTTGGGGAAAAGCGTGGAGGGATGCAACATTTTCACCAGATGAAGAACTCAAACGCTGAAAGATGTAAATCAAATAAAGTAGAGAAATGTGCATTTATATATATATTTTTTTGCCTTTAAAAGAAGATTTCACATGGCTTTGGACAGTTTTCTCTCTCTGACTCCCTCTTGGCATATGTAAGCTGATACACATTTCAAGTGGGTTACTCATGTCCAGCACATCCACACAAAGAGCCTGGATTAAATAAACATGCCGCGTCAGATATCTTGGAAGAAATCTGTCATGGGTTTGGGGCTAATTACCTCCAGAAGGGGCTTGACTCAAAGCCTGAAACGTTAGCCCCTTACAGGGAGCACTCAACGGGCCAGGCTGGGTTGGGGTGGCCAGGCCTCGAGAACTGGGGATGGATCCAGAGGAGGGGGTGCTTTCCACAGGTCAGAACCAGAGAACCATAAGCATAGCACCACAAGTCAGATTGAGATAAGCCACCTGCGGCCATGGCCTCATAGGTATTTTATTTTAAAAAACTGCCAGAGTCATCTTTTACAGAACTTGGCTGGTTTGCGTTGTGCATTTTACAGGATTCAGCTCACTGTGAGCTTATCCACATAACCACTAATTCCAGTGTCAGTACAGTATTGGAAAATTGACATAACACCATATATTGCTGCAAGCTGATTTAAGGTACCTAATGGTTACAGCAGCATTATACTTGGAAGAGTTGCTTCCCAGTTCTGCCGGAAAACCATCAGTGTTGTGTTGTGAATATGCAGGGTCCTGACCTCAGCAGAGGAGATGAGTCTCCATGGTACAGGGAGATTTGCTCCTATCCTTCCTCCTGCTCTGCCATTAGCAAATCCCCTTCTTTTAAGTCTGGTTGTGCATGTCATGCTGCCAGACCATCTTTGCTCCTCAGGGCAGGGCATCCAGTCATAGTTTTAAAAAGATGGAGGCAGAAATCTGTGTCTCTTTATAGATTCTTGTGACAGTGGACTAACACATTTTTTAGGAAATATTGCAAAGATAAAATGTGTGTGTGTGTGTGTGTGTGGTGGGGGGGGGGGGTTAACTTCCACTCTTTCATTACATTCCCCACAGGAATGTGTCTCTTCATTGAGTGCTAAACTTCTGCTCCATTTTCATTAGTTGCTGTGTTCACAGGTTGAAGTCAATCAGCAATCAGAGACAGATAAAATGACTCAAACCCTGTGTTTTTTGTGTGAGACCCTGTTGTTTGTGTGTACTTTGGAAATACAATTTACAGACATGGCTTTGTACTGGAGAGCTGCTTATTAAGACTTGCAGGTTTGTATGTTTTGTTTTTTGGTGGTTAAATTAATTTAAATTTTTTCTTCTAGTTACAATTGTTTGGTTTATTTTGATTATGGCTCTCACTGAAGCTTAAATGCCTTTCTGTGTTGTTAAGATTAAAGAAAATGAAGGGTAAACAGCAAAACTGTCTCTTTGTTCTGTCCAAAATTACAGTATGTTAGACCCCTTTACCTCCACACTAGCATGGGGATGTAACAGTTTGTCTGTTAGCAAAACATCTCAACATCTCATAATGAAAAAAACAAACAAACTCAAATCATTTGGTATACTGTACATCTACCACTGCGTAACTTTTATAGGGTTTGCCACAGCAAGCAAACTCACATAAAATATTTGGCAAATGTTTTACACTGACTCGCCTTCTTGATGCAATCTGGGCTTGAACCTGCAGCCTGAGGAATAAAAATCACTGAACACCGATCTACCACAATTTAACGCTGCAAAGAAACTTAAAGGTCATATGAAGACTACTTGAGTTTGTCATATAACTGTATAATTTATATGCAGTATGAATTTCCATCAAATGTCTAAGCCAGTGGTTCTTAACCTGGGTTCGAATCGAACCCTAGGAGTTCGATGAGCCGGTCTCAGGGGTTCGGTGGAGCCTCTGCTGGAGGTAAAGACACACTTGTGTAAAGTCGTGGTGACACGCCCCGCTTGGCCATCACTTGCTGCAGATCACGTGAGATTGTTTGGCCAATCAGTGCTGGCCCCAAAAAAGAATTTTGTGGATTCAAAACGACAAAAAACAAATTAGCTTTAAAATAATTTAAAAAAGTTATTAAAAAGTGTTAAATTCTTCAAAAAAAAACTAATTTATTTTTATTAGTAAAATAGTAGAAATATTTTTGGGGAGATAAATTTTTTATGGGGCCAAAATATTTTTGGGGGGCCAGAATAAAGTCATTTTGTAATTTGTTGTGAGTTCATGCACTGATTTGGTTTTGTTCTTTGAGCAAGGTGATTGATGTTCATGCACGGCTCATTTTATACACCAGCAAAAAAATAAATAAATTTTAAAAAAAACGTCTTGAATTTGGAAAAAAAATCACACTTAATTTATCACTAAAAAGGGTTCAGTGAATGCGCACATGAAACTGGTGGGTTCGGTACCTCAAAAAAGTTTAAGAACCACTGGTCTAAGCATTTTTGTAAACAAGGCCAAAATATGCCATTTTCTACAAACTGCATGAAAATCAAAGTTTGAATTTCCATTTTGGTCTAACAATAATCCACTCCTCATTTGGATTACCCGTAGAAGCAGCTTGTGTTTTTGAAGTTTTTTGTAATTTTGTGCATTCGAAATGGTATATTGGATGTAGGGCTACAACTACTCAATAAAACTGATACAAATTGATCATTAAATGTGTTGGCAACAAATGTTATTATTGATTTGGGTAACTAAGGATGGTATTAATTTAATGATTAAGCTTTAGGTTTTAATTTGACAACAATGTCTGAGTGAAGACACTTGCCTTAACCTAATACTGCAAATAAACCAAGGCATTTATTGAATTATTGTAATAAGCAGCTGTTTTGACTGAAAGTATTCTTAAYCTGATCGTCACTGACATTGTGTCCATGGTCAAAGATAAAAACTTTACTTTCATAGTTCACACTTTTATTTCAGGTTACTCTTCCCTCAAGGACACATTTTACAAAGCTGATGGAGAGAAAAGATGAAAAAACTTTCAATGATACAGCACACATTTGTGTATATTTTTGTGTACATTCATTTTTTTAATGATTTTACAAATATTGATTTAATTATGCATTACAATTTAATATTATAATAAGAGAATTTTCAAACAGTAACCTATTTTTGTGTGTTTTAATATCTCAGACCAATTTTTTTATTTTGGAATGAAGGAGTCAAAATTACAAATTTTTGTTGTTGTTTTCTGATTAATTGATTTTTCAAAAAATAATAATCGAATGGTTAATCCATTTTAATAATCGTCAGTTGCAGCCCTAATTGTGTGGCCTTTGGGTGCATGAATGGCACGGGGTCAGCTGCAAGCTTTTATAATTTTCTGAAAGATCCACAAAGAAAGATTTGGGGTGAATGTGGTGCAGATGAAAGACTAGAAGCAAACAAAGCGCAGCTCTGTTCAAACCATTTTGAAGATGTTGCCTTTTCAGTGCCTCCCAGTTTGAGTACATCCATCCGTTTTGCACTCAAAGGACTGCGCTGAAGGAGGATGCCACTGCAACAACATCTAATCAATAACAGCGCGGCTACATGGGACACTCTGCAGCAGTCATGACAGGAACTTTTTCAGCACCATCACAAACCAAAAGAATGCACCAAAGCTAAACAAACTGGTGAGTAGCTTTTTATTAAGACTATTACTTATGAGCACAATCAGGCCTGCCTCGTTCATTACCCAAAAACAGGGCTGCAGTAGGGGATACTCCCAGCAGATCAGCATCACTCTAATGGGAGAGAGGGAGCCTGGTGCGGGTGTTCAGTGTGCAGGGAGTCGCCGACACTGTATAGGCAAATGCAACCCTTTTCAGACTTTTTCATTGCAGAGTGACTGGCCTACAGTAGGAAAATCCAATTTATCATAATTCTAGGCTGAGCAGATCGATCCAAATAATCATTATCATCGTGCCTTAGAAACAAGAATTATGATTTTTGGCTTTGCTTTGCAACCTAATTTAGCAGGTGGAAAGTTGTAGTTTTTATTTTTTTTATTATAGTTTTTAATAATTTCAATCAGAATTGTCAGTTGTGGGCACAGTTCCCCTAAAGCACTAAAGCACTAATAGGGGAACTAATTTCCTGATTAGCGCTTTAGGGCTTTTACTATTTTTTAAATTCGTTAGTGGATTAGCACTTGCTAAATTTATGGGCTAAATTTAAAAACACTAACTGAGGTCTTTAAATGTTATCGATCATCATTATTGTTCACAGTTGAGGGTGAAATCTGTCATACATTTTCTTCATGTGTGTATCTACAAGGTCACACATGTCAAACCCAAGGTCCGCGGGCCAAATGTGGCCTGCGGGTGACTCCCATTTGGCCTGCCATGGGCACTAAATGACAACATGCAGCACACAGTAAATACTGTCTCATGTTGACTCTGAATGTGTCAACTGGATTATATTACTGCTTTAGAATTAGCTTTTGCTAAATTTTTCAGTGCATTAGTGCTTTAGAATTAGGGGATCTACATATTTGAGTTAATGCTTTAGGGTTAGTGCAACTATTATTTAGATTAGTGCTGCCCACCACTGAGAATTGTAATTAAAACAGTGTATGAATGCAAAATATGCAAATCATACATTTTAGTGTTTTTTTTTTCATTTGACCTTTAAAAAATAAAACATACAATAGTATGTATTGTGTTTAATTGTCGCTGTTGCAAAGAAATGCAATGAAAAAGAACAAACACTATGATACCAAAGGGACAGAAACTGTAAACTGCTTCTCTATACAGTATATGTCAAGTTTTACCTTTGAAACAGTGTCTACTGTGCCATGCAGGCTTGTTCCTTTCCTTCAATGGGCTGAGCTGGTAACTGGAGGTTCTTAACAAGGCAGCATGGACAGAGGGGTCTAAAAGGGAAAAAAGAGAGCATAAAGCAGGCTTAAAACAAAAAGTTAAAAAAGGATCAAACATTTGGAAAATATGAGAGCAGAGCTCTGGTTCCACTGAGACAGATGCCATCAGGAGTTACAGTCGACATAGACCTGTGTGTTGGTGGCACAAGATGACAGGAGTACTGCGACTGCAGTCATGCATTTGCAATTATGATCAAAGAGTAGCCCCCTTTTTACATGAAAAAACAACATGCATGATGGCCGTGTCAAGACCACTGCTTTTTTGGAACAGAGCACAGCAGAGGTGAGGTCACCTTTCACTGCAGCTACACTCAACCACGACACTGAGGTGGAATGAAAGTTAGCACAAGACAACTTGTCAAGCGGTTTTCTTGGCAATCATCGGTTCCTCTACAGGCTTTTTTTAAAAGAAGGTCCAATAGGAGACGACAGGCCCTGGTTTCTGCTGTCTGTTATGGCTTGTTAACATACATGGAGTGGAAAGGTTCACTACTGCTGAGGCACGACTGAAAGAAAAATAATGAGAATGAAGGAAGACAAAAATCCACAAGGAATTTTTTTAATTTTAGAAACTAGAATGATGTTTCACCATCTCTTTCCATAACGTGAGGACAAAATGAAAGAATGTTAGTTAATGAGGAAGGAGCTTTTTACAAACATAATTCTATTAAATTTGAGATATTCCACAGACAAACAGAAAACAAAAGAGAAATTTAATACTGAGCCCAGAAACATATTATATGTTGTTTTGAGCAGACTCACTTCTGGGTTTCTTCTGCCTTTGTTTAGCCGACTTCATCTTCTGGGCTCTCTTGAGCATCAGGAGAGCAGTGCGACTGTCAGTAAAGCCCCTGGAGACAACAAGGACACAACAATCCAGCTGAAAATCCCTCTGAGTAAACACAAATACAAAATGAAGACATGGTGAAGGCAAAACATGTGCGACACGGAGAGGAATTACCATTCTTGCAGAATCTTTTCTGATCTTTCAGACAGACCACTGAGAGCTGAGGCTGAAGCAGAACACTGGCTGCTGAAATCATGAAAAAAAATGTCAAAGATTTCCAATTAAAAAACAAATAAACACGGTCACTACACATCTTGCATGTACTGACCACCAGATTTATGTAATCTGTGGAATTAACGTGACAGTCTCTAGTCATATATTCCTGCTCTTAAGTTGAGATACCAGGCTGAATGTGTGAATCTGTGTTATTTTAATTTTAATCACTATGTGAATAAGACTAAAGAGAGCTAAAATGATTCACTATATGCTTGTTTGTATACTCTGCGTCTGTTCTGTGTTTTATTTAATTGATTAAACACATTTTTTATTGAGGCCAATTGCGGTTTTTGCCTGTGTAAGGTTGTGTTTGGCAGAGGACAAATTTTATTGAAACTCCAAGAAAGTAATTGCTGGATGCACGTCGACAACTGATTAACTTCTCAACATCTGTTTCAAACAGGCAGTCACCGCTAACAGATCTTAGTCAACACAAAATATCTTGGTCAGTTTTACAGATAATGAGTTAAAGTTTGATGTGGTGGTAGCTGAGAGTGACACATACTCTTACACAAAGCACAATAGTTCAAGGTGTCACCTGTCAAACTGAAGAGTCACACTCAGAGATTTGCAGGTGTGTTTGCAGGTGGTCTTCATAAGCAAATATGTTGCAGGATTTTTTCATACAAAATACAGTTTCAAAGCAAACAATTCAGATACAGAACTTTAAATACAGTTTTAAACCATTAAATTCAGTTTCAATTAAGTAAAATTCATTTTCAAACCAATGCATTCAATTTCAAATTGTGCAGATTCAGATTCAATCTGAGCAATTCAAATTCAGTTCCTGCTGGCGCAAGATTTATCCCATAATTTTGGCTTCAATGAACAGGAGAGATGCAAGTGTATCACTTAAAACAGAATTTCGGGGACATTTGCATGTTCTGTGCAAAAGTTAGTTAGTTTAAAGTAAATGTAGATTAAAGCTCTTATTATTGCATCAGTGTTCATCCTCTATCAAATGAAAAAGTCTTCTATGAATCAGATTTTGTCCTGAGTATATGAATGGAAAACACTGATTTCTTTTCACCACTTTAACACACAGGGCCTGACTTACTAAAGGTTTGCATGTATAAAAACTAGAGCTGCAACGATAAAGAAAATTCACAATTCTGTTCCATATTTTAGTGTCACGGTTCAATATTTTTTCAATACAAAAAAGAGATATTTCCATGCCCTTTTTAACTTGTAATTTATAGAAATTAACTATGAACATTTGTTTAACCTCAAAAGTACAGTTTTTAAGTTAAAAGTTGCTGAAACAGCACGTTTCTCAGTTGCGCATGACAATGCAGCCTAAGTGGAGTAGTCGAACACAGATCCACTGATCCTTCAACACAGCGCATCTTCAGAAGACATGTTGATAAAATTAAAAATCTTTATTGTTCCATACATAGTGTGTATTGAACGGTTCGATACAGATACATGTATTGTTGCAACCCTAATCAGAATCAGAATAAGCTTTATTGGCCAAGTATGTTGACACACACAAGTTTCCGGCTGGTGATGTCTCTCCAACACACATACATACAATATACACAGTGATGCACAATAGCAACGTAATAAAAAATGTGTTAACCTAACATCATGTGTAAATCCGATATAATAACCATGTGCACCGAGGATTGGCTGTCAAAAGAGCAATCCAGGTACAATCCATTTAGCTTGTTTGTTAGCAAACCCAAAACTGACTGCAGCTGCTGTTTTTGCATCTAGCATGTTTGAAAGGCAAGCACAAACTTGATGTGGTCAATGTTGTGAGAAGGCGGCACAGGTAAATGATAGACAACTGAGAGTCATTCGTCTGTGAGTGTGTCAACAGAAATAAGGAGACAATCTATCCAGTAGTGATATTTTTCAGGACCTAAAGGCTGCTTTGGCCACAAATAAAAGCCATGTCATACTGTCTTTGCAAAAACTGTGAAATACTACATTTTTTGCTTCTGGATCATTTGCCTCCTCCACCAAGACCTCCACTCCAAAGCTTCAAACTGCTTTGTTCCACCAAACTCTCCATGGTGACAGCATGTACAACATGCAAAATCCTCATTTCCACAGGGCGATCATCATCACTTCTGCAACTGTTATCATTTGCACAGCAATCTTAGTAGATCACCAACAACACACTGACTTTCAGTTTTTTTGCATGGGCAATTTTTAACTTTGCACACGCAATTTAGCGCACAAAGTTTTAAACCTGGTGACTATTTTAAATGCTATGTGGACCGTTTTTACTACTTTACAAGCATGTTCTTTGATATTTCTGTTATGCGTTAGAGAAAACATGCAGATGTCTGTGACATTTGTACCTGTTGAACTTCAGTGTTGAAATCCTTTGAAGCCTTGACTCGTCTTCTTGTTCAGCAGTCCAGACCTGCTTTGGGCTCCAAACAGGTGGTGGCTCATGAGAGATCACAAGAGGCTAAAACATAAATGTTAACAAATGTAAGAAGAGTTCTCTGCTTCTCTGGAAGTGTTTTTAAGTTCATGATAATGCAACAGTCAAAATTTGTATTTGGGAGAGAAAAAAATGCATTGAGAATATGTACACAATTTTTTATATATCTTCAAACATCTTTAGAGGTATACTCAGAAGACTGTCACAAAGGAGTTTTAAATATAACTACTCTGTCTAGAAAACTATTCTCTTTATTCTACCTGAAGGGAATAAATGACACTAGAATATCCAGTAACATTAAACTCAAGTATATTTTCACTTTAGGCATTTAGCAGACACTTTTCACCAGAGTAAGTTTTCACACTTTCATAATGCTCTGGTCCAAGTTGGTCTAACAGCTTAATTACTCTCCTGATTCCACTTTTTTTCCCCGCCTCTGATGTGCACCTCAGTGTCAACATCCTGGGGCTGACCACACCAGCAGCTGCTGCACATCATCGGCCCAAACTAGCTACCATGATGTACAGTGCTGAGCCCGCTCCAAAAAAAAGATCCAACGCGAGGTAAATGAAGGGGGGTGGGTGGAGTGCAACGAGACATTTTAGCCGGCATGACAAACGACATCTGCTGGTGCTGAGCAACCTTCAGCCCTCCAGGAAACAATCTTGTTTTTCAAAGTGAAAAAATTTGAAGATCAGTGAAAAAAATAAAAATAATAAAAAAGATGGGGTGGGGGCGTTAGGCTAGATGTGAAAAGGGACAAGGCAAGAAAATAATTTGTGTGTTGACAAGACACGCTGATAAATGGCCCTCACCAAACATGCAAACATAAGTCAGTTCACTTTTTTAATAATCTTAGGCCGTTAGGTTTTTCATCAAACATTATCTGAGGATTTACCTCTGCACCTGATGATTGTTGTGATACAACGAAACGTCTTGGAGGAGAGTCCTCAGAAATAGTCCAGTGTTTCTCCACTGCCAGCTTTGAGTAAAGAAAAAAATAATAATTAGAATTTATTTCATAAAGGGGAGAATGCATGTTAATCAACATGAATCCATCATGTAAATATGCAAGATTTAGCCAACATAGCTCATTTTCATCTGTAGTCCCCTAGCAGGTTGCAGGATTAAAAAGATTTACAATTAATATGCATAACAACGTACATGACATCATTTATGACAGGTTTCAATGTATACCTTAAAAAGTAGAGTAATTTACTGTAAAAATTCCTAAGAAAAATAAAAACAAGTCATAACCGTGAAAACAACAAGAAGAACAAAAACCAGTGTTTGAAGATAACCATAATGCTCACGTCGCTCTGGATGAAAATGGGGTTGACACCCCTGCATTAGATGATTTTAGTTGTGATGTGCATTCCACCAAGGACTGCTAGGCTTTTAATTTGTTCAAGTTTTTTTTTTTGCAATGTAATATGACAATACTCAGTTGTTTATAATTACAGGAAATGAAAGATCTAGCATTTTTTGAAAGGATGCATATCATGTTCTGCATACATGCCAAAGTTTTAAACCAAGATCAACCCACAATGAAAAGGAAAGGATAAATAGCTATTTTTATCAAATCTTGTAAACTGAACTTATGTACAGTTTTATGCAATACTGTGAGATCTTGCTGTACTAGCACATGGAGTATGTGCTGTGAATGACCCAATAAATCAAGTTTTAGCTCAGTGGCTATAAAATTGACTGAGTTCCAGCCATTTTTGTGTTGGATAATATAAATTAGCTGTGGCAGCCATCTTGAATCAGGACTACTCCAAAAGGTAATCAGTTGCAAACAAAGATTTATTTAATATATTCGGAGTTTAATTAAAATTCTAAAAGTTGTTCATGATATATTCTTGCTTTAGTGGGGTGATTGCCAATAGTTAACACCAACGTTTTAAGCAAAGATCTTGAGTGTTTGGGCTGGTGCTCAGCTACTACCACATATATTCCCTTTGGCAGCAGGGAATTAAGTAAAATATATTAAGAACTTTTTAAGATTCCCTAAATTACATGCAATTTTAAATCAACATTGAAATACTTTCTACATAGACAACAAAATAATATACCATATTATATGTTGAGGACAGCTTAAAGGTATAGAAAAATAGATAGTGCACAGGTTTGTCTCCAGTGGGATGTGGAATGCTGAATGACTGAACCATGAAAGCAATGAAAACACGAACTTGACTGCATACCTCATCAAAGACAAATTCCTCTACATCCACTTCCTCAAAGGTGTCATCTTCCTCAGCGTCGGGACATGTGACCGCAGCAAGAGCAAAAGCGAGCCTCCTCCTCAGAGTGAAGCCCCTCCAAAATGCCTGGAGGTACCCATAGCAAGAAATGGTCAAAAAAACCATCCATGAATCACAGAGCAAACGTAAATACTGTATGTTATCCCATTAGGGAGATAAAACATGTTAGGCCCTATTTTAATTGCTGAACATTCTGTTGTCTGAACTCTGCTTGACTCCAGGCTGCTCTGAGACAAATGGAGCTCCAGTGTGCCTCTAAATCCTCCAATTCCCAACGGGCTGGGGGGGGGGGGGACGTTTCACTTCAAGTTGAGCCTCACACAAGTTCTACAACTCTTACTACTACACGTCACTGGAATCTGAGTAATTGCTCTATACCCGTCCAACACACACACACACAGAGTGTTTCTCCACTGTCCAACCCCCACCATCTTCCTTGGAAGATCCTAAAGGGCTTCTTAAACACTTTTTGTGTTGTGAGTTGATTTCAGAGAGGTGGTGAGTGGCATGTTTTTCACAGCAGCAGCTTATGCCTCTGTGCTGAGGATATGCCAAGTAAGCATCCATGCTATGGTTGAGTCCTATAGATTAATGTTCAGGGATGAAAATGGATGGTTTTCTTCAGTGCAATATGTGAAAGTGACTTTAGGAAAGTCATTAATTACACATCCGCAGCTTATTGCTTACTTAAAAACTCAGATTTCCAAGTTAAAAGAATGCTTCAGATTTTCTGAATTTGAGTTCTGTGGAAAGGTTATGAACTTTTCAGGGGTCACCACAGTGAGTCATCCTCCTCCATCTCACTCTGTCTTCTGCATCTTCTGTCCTCACTCCAACTACCACCATGACCTCTGCATCCACATATCTCCACTTTGATTTTTTTCCTGGCAGCTGCATCTCTAACATCCATAAATCAAAATACCCACTGTCCCTCCTCTGCACGTCCAAACCATCTCAGTCTGGTTTCTTTAGCTTTATCTCCCAGTAGTTCAACCTGTGTTGCACCTCTGATGATCTCATTCCTAATCTTATCCATCTTTGTCACACCCAATGAGTAACTCAACATCTTCAGCTTTGACACTTCCTGTTCTGTCTCCTGTCTTTTTTTGTCTCCAAACCAGACAATATAGCTGGTTTCACGATTCTTTTGTAAACTTTCCCCTTAGCCTTTGCTGTCACCCTTTTGTCACAAATCACTCCTGAAATGTTTCTCCATCAACTCCATCCTGTCTGAACTCTCTCTTTACCTCTTCAACAGACTCCACATTTTTTGTGGACAGTCGACCCAAAGTACTTGAAGTCCTGCACCTTTTGTGACCACTGCTCCTTGTAGACTGTTGCACCTCAGCCTTATAAGCACTGCCTCCACATGGTGGACAAAGAGGTTAGTCACGTTCAAAAGAGGACCATCAGCCAAAAAATAGGTCGTTAGTGCCTTGATTGGCTCTATTGTTAACAATAAAGCCAATGCTGAACAAAAGAGCCACCATGTTTGTCCACCACGTGGAGGCAGTGCTTATAAGGCTGGGTTCACCTGAAACTCCTCAGACTGAGAGAGATGAAACATTTCATTGAAGAAGAACCCATCCAGATGACCTAATTTTTTCTTTTTGATTTTTCTACCTGGATTACTGAGATGTATCAGAACAAATGTGAACAATACTCTACCCATGTAGGAGAGGGCCAGATCTGGAATTAAGCTGGCACTGCTGGCTGTCTGTCAATTATGCCAATGTTTGTACAATGGTATTCCACAATTGGCCCGATGGTGGCTTGGTATGAAGTTCAATTCTGTCAGTATCAAAACTGGCCCAATTGTTGGTTGGTATACGTGCTGGCCCATGCATGGACCATCTCTGGCAAACTGCATCCTGACCAACAAAGGGTGCATTCTTTCTGGTATACGGGCAGAGTGTTAGTGCTCAGATTTGAAGACGTAGGCCAAAACTGGGCTAGACCAATTTTGATATGTAGGTATGCTCTCTACAACAGCTCAGGTATCAATTGTTTATAACCTTACAGGACTCTATTTCAAAATATACAAACTATTCCTTTGGGAAACAGTTTGAATGAATATGGCATTTATTTTAAATGGCCAGTCTAGGTTGTCACTTCACAGATTCAGAGGAAAAGAAGTTTACAGTTTTAAAATAGTTTGAAGCTTGACTTTATTCCTTTGACAAACCTCCACATTATACCTGTATAACAGTTGCTGCATTGTCTTGGATAGCAATGCTCCTGTTAATAAATGAAGGTATGGACTCAGAGTTTTCTTTGCTTCCTCCAATTTCTCCTCTCTTCTTCTTGACGGAAGGGGCAACAACATTTCTACATTTTTGTCTGCATTTCCTCCATCTCTGCTGAATCACGACTGCTGCTCGGCTGCTCCAATAAAAATGCATGCAGACAGAAAACACACGAAGTGAAGGATATCTGTGATGTCACAATGCCTTTATCTTTCAAAATTTATTTCTGACATCTGGAGAGCAGGACTCTGGAGAGATGAGGCCTGTCCAGAGCCACCCTTCATATAAAAGATCTATAACTCTCCCAAAGATAGCAGGGTGTTAATGATAAAGCAGCGTGTTAAAATGAAGATTGTCAACATCTTGTGTTGTAAATCAAATTGAGGAGGCTCCAGTGATGACAAATGCTTACAGCACAAACTAATAAAAGGTTCAGCTGCTACAAAGAGAAATATTTACAATGCAATGGCTTTACTTATTTTTACAACAGATGATGATTTGTGAGCGATTTAGCTCCTTCATGAAATAGGTTTAAAAAGGTAGACGTTAAATAAATTACCTTTCGAGGTCCAAGTTGAGATCGATGGAGAGAGGTTCTTTGCCAAATTGTAAAGAGTTAGTTTTTTCTTTTGATGAGAGAGAGGGAACCCAATCGGAGTTAGCTTTGCTAATTGTTTTCTCTGTTCTTGTACCAACTATGATACTGTCAAATTTGGTTTGACAACTTTCTCCAACTGGCGTATCTTCAAAACTCTGGTGTCTGCGTTTGATGTTGAATCCGGTGGTATCTGGTGGTAGTTTGTCGTTGGACTCAGGCTTTGGGTCATCTCTGCAGCTCATATTCATAATTTTCTCAGACATTGTTTCATCTGTCACCTTGTGTTGATCAGACACAATGGTGTCACCGTATTCATGGGCAAGTCTCTGGTTCTCTGCCAACTGCAAAGCCATAGTAAAGTGCTGGAAATGTGTTTTCATGGCATCCAGGGGAGAAGAAACATTGCTGTGAACAAACAAACAAAAGGCTTTCAAATTCTGCATCGAGTTGTGGGATTTCTGCCACAGACAAATTTTGAGTAGACTTGTACTGCTATTCTTCACTACACACACACACACGCATCTCCCTAACTGCAGGAAATACAAAGGATAAAGAGCAAAATGTTGCATTGATGTCTTTGTTTTTATATAAAGAAGACAGGCATGACAGGCACAGGCATACTGTAATTCATTCTCTTTTAAATTATGTCAACTAAATCTAAAAAAAAGGTCAAAAAGTGAGTAAAACCTTGGTATTGTTTTACATTCAGAATACATTATCTTATTATCTAGAATGTTTCAACAGATAGAGCTTCACATCCAAACAGAACCCACATGTATTACTGTATCTCACAGGATATTTAGCAAGAAAATTCCCTCACAAAATCTGCATGACTGCCCTAGACTGCAGCCCATTTACCTCCTTTCTTTTCACTTTGGTACCTGCTTTGTTTGTGACAGAAGTTCATATTTAGAACAAGCAGCGAAAACTGCTAACACCTGCTGTACTTGATGGCTGTGTTTGTGCCGTGTTCTGTTGATCTGTGCTGCCTCGTCAGATTTTGCTACCTTCGCGCAACTCGATAGCTAGGTCTACTGTCGGTGCTACCAACGAAAACTGCTACCGTCATGTTTACAAAAATATCATCATCAGATAAAATTTGAGTGACGGTGTTACTGAAGTGTAAGCTTAGGAGTTATGTTTAGCATAGAGCATAGCATTGGAACAATTTATATATACAATGAAAACAAGAATATCACTTCCTTCCTCAGAATATCCAAACCATTTAAAATTAAAAGCTAACATGTGGTTGATGCTAAACAAAGAGTCATTTGTTCTTTACAGTATAATAACAATATTGCAGACATCAAACTAAAGCCATTGACGAATATGTCCACAAGCCATCTATCATAAACTTATGAGTGACGCCAAACAATGGGACTATTTTTTGTTTACAGTATGTTAACAATATTGCAAACAGCAAAAGAGCCATTTATGTTAGTATGTTTGAGGAACATAGCAGCTTAAGCAAACAAAACTTTACATAACAAAATGAAACTTCTACAGGTAGCGCATATTGACGAGATCTGCTGAGTAAGCAACATGAGACAGTACATCGGTCTGCGTATGTCCATTGCCACAAGGTAGGACGGATTGAAGGGTAGCACAGATCATCAGAACACCGGCATTTTAGTGAAGCTCTTTGATTATAAATATAATGTTGAGATGGAGAGAATAGTGATGGCAAATGGTACAAAAAGAAATATTAGGGGGAAAAACAGGTGTTGTGCTTTCATTTTGAACCTCTGTCTCATTCATTTATAATCTTCAACTCCATGTATTGCTGTGAAAATGTAAGTTTTTTATGCAAAACATAGATTTTGTAATGTTTAGTTTACATTGTTCATCAGTAAAATTAAGTTAGGTGTGTGATCACACAGGTAGGTGTGTGTGTGTGTGCATGCATGTGTGTGAGTGTTCCAGTATAAATGGGGGACTAGCCTGCCTAGTTTGCCCTTAAAATATAGTCTCTTTCATTGAGGGGATAAACCGACTACAAAGCCACCTTTATGGTAACTTAATGAATCTATTAGCAATGCTTCACTCTGTTCCCCTCCCCTATCCTGCACTCTGAGGGGGCAAAGATACACTCAGTCTGTCTGGAAGGCTGGTAGGGGTATAGCTTCTTCTCTACAAAGACCTAGCTCTTCTTTCTCAGTGGGACAAAGGAAAGAAAAGTCAGGGGTCATAGAAGACTGTGACCCCCATGATCCTTCCTCCCTGTACCTGCTGGTTCACTCCAGGGTCACCGTAAACATGCGTAGGAATGCTGTAAAAAGGCAGGAAGTGGTTTTAAATAGTTGAAATTGCACCAAATAGCATTAGTAAAAGGGGCTGGATATCACATGAAACAAACTGATTTGGACCATTTGAAACCTTTGATGTAGAAACCGGAATCCTGATCGGTTACTTGTTTTTGGCATTTCTTTTTCAGGGCAAATACGTTTTTGGTGTCATTTACTTTACACCATTTAAGGTTTGGGCAATAATCTTTACCTACAAACTCAAAATAAGCTGTCCAGTATTACTGAAAATGATCAAGAAAAGCTTGTGTTGACAGAGTTATCTTATATAGAAGATCACAGACAGAATCTACAAGTGAATTCACAAATTAAAAAAGTTAGAATATGGGGACTGCAGACACAAGACCACATTTGTGGGAAATATTCCAATTTGTTACCATGTTAGGGAGAAGAGTTTGTTTCTTTGAAAAACACGTCCTGAGATGAAATTTGTGCAAATAGATCAAAGTTTGAAAACATAATGGTCAATATATGCTAATATAGCTGAGACACCAACCATAGCAAACGTATCAAATTTCCCTCTGGGATCAATAAAGTATTTTTGAGTTTGAATTGAATTTGAATTGAATAGATATTCAAATGTTGTAATGAGTAAACAGATTTTTTGCTACATCAACAAAAATGTTTGAAACTGAGATATTTTGTTAAGATAATGTAATCAAGTCTGTCTGGTGTAATAACTGTTGCTAACTATACACCTAAAATGAAATCTTACTTGCTCACCTTACACTCACCAGTGGACTGGCATGTGGCACCCTTATCTCCTCCCTAAACTTCAGTCCAACACAAGGTCAGGCCAGGGGTTAAACGTCTATGTTGGCTCTTGCAATAGCCCAAAATGGCTCATTGTCCAGGGGGGCCAGGGGTGCAGAGGGCACACAGTGAGAGGTGAAGCTAGGGGAGCACCACACTATCCCCCAAGCCATAGGAGTCCTCAGTGTGACCCGTTCTTGCAGCCACCGCCACGTTTCATCTTTTGTTCGGTGCGATTTGGAAAGGTCAGGAAGATAAGCAGAAAGTTGACCACTGTTTTAAGTGCTGGTGGTCCTCCGTGCACACGTGTGTGGAGGCCAGTGACACCGAAGGACTTGTGAAAATAGCTGGATGTTGTTTTTATTCTTACTACACCATGTGTACCAGACATAACAAGAGGATAGCTAGCATTCTTCACTGCTGCATCACCGGTGAGTTATCGTTAAAGTGTCATAAAACTCTCTTTAAAGTGCCTGTGACAAGCATATTCTTCAAATACAAGAAGTCAAAGAAAACATCTTTATATTTAAGAAAGTTGGAACAATACACATGATTTAACCCATTTTCTCTCATAACAGGCATATTTTCTTTTGAACTTGGTTCAGCCAAAGTGAAACAGGAAGTGACATCAAAGGGGAATTCTTTAACAAAGAAAACTCTCTGGTCTTTGTTTATTAAAACAGTATTATTTGAACTCTGACTCTTCTTCATCTCTCTGATAGTGACTCAAAATAATCTTAAGAAACATCAGATTCTTCTCTACAGTCTGGGTTGTTAGTTGTTGTAGCACTGCTCTGTTCACATGCAGACATTCCTCTTTGACATGTTGGAATAATGCACAGAAAGTCTGCGTGTATGGTGGTCAATAATGATTTAATTCTGAGCGACAAACAAACAGGACTCAATCAGGACACTCTGTCGGCTTGTGGCTGACACGTCAGCGGAAAGCAGCCAATAATATACACCATGATAACATCATATGACGTGCTTATAACCAATCACAGATCGACGAATGTACTGCCCAGCCAATCACAGGGCTCTCAGCTCAAAGAGTTTCTTATCAAACAAGAGAGGTCAGTCCGTTGCGGAGTCCTGACATCTGGGCAAACAGATTTGACAATGATCATAAGATATATGAGTACTGGACAGCGTCAAGGTGAAACAGATAGATGATTTGTCCATAACAACATCACTTCCTGTTGCTTCACAGGCAAATATCTCAACAACTGTTCATCTCAGCAACATGAAATTTCTTTTGCAATATTTTATCAATGTCCTCTTTCTAAAAATGCATTCATATGTATTACAAGAATTTGATGTCACAGGCACTTTAATTGGATTAGCATCATTTATATTTTTGATTTACTGTTATATTTGTGTATATTTGTTTTATTTTTTGTGTGTGTGTTTTAACACTTTGATAATTTACCATACAATAAATCAAGCATTCAGTTGTCACTGCTCGGTTTGGCAATTTAGTGTAAAATGAATGTAACTTAGAACTAAAACCAATGATGAGTTGAATCAAAATGACATTGTTTTCTGTCTGACATACTGTATTGTAACAACAAAACAGGTTTTGTGAGTTAAATTATTTTAACTTCATAATAATGACGCACGTTAGCGCTGTCAAAATCCTCCTGTCAAGATTTTTATTTATTATTTCTTACACTGTTTATATGTCTATAAATGTGTTATTTTGTTTTTATTTTGTTTGTATTTTTATTTTATTCTAGTTCTTTCTTCTCTATTTATTTTTACTTAAATGTTTGCAGCTGTAATAACTGTAATTTCCCTCTGGGATCAATAAAGTATTCTGATTCTGATCCTGAGTCAAAAATCTGGCTTTCTGAAGTTGGTTGTTTTTCCTGTCCATGTTTAAGTTTCCTCAAGGTACAGACAAGGTCAGAATCCTCCCACAATCCAATTAGATGCATCATGGGTTAACTGGTTCAGAGTGTTAGTGTGTGCACGGTTTGCTCTTTGTGTTGGTCCGCTGACAGACTGGCAATCTGTCCAGAGTGTACCTCACTTCTTGCCCAGTAGCTACTGAAGCTCCCCGAGACCCTCAAAAGTGGAGACTGATTGATTGACCCATGTACATTTGTGTGAATGAATGCATTACAACCAGTTTTCACCAAAACAATCACCGTGAGATTAGTTGTACACACCATATTCAAATCAGTTTTTGAATGGGTGTGTTTTTGTTTTATATCAATTTATTAATATTATCATGGTATAAAATGGGTCATCATGTATCTCTTTATTTGAAATAAAATGTATTGTTGAAACAAATGTACTAACTATTTTTCATGTAACATATTAACAGCCATTTATTTGTCTGTGTATTGTATGGAAAAACAAATTAAACAGAGTTCACATTTTAAAATTTCAGCTACGTTTGAGTTTCTATAAACTTGCATTATATACAGTTTATAAATATATATACTGTATAAATAAAGCATCTCACATGGTTCCAGTCTCTCTGTCAAAATGAACCTGCTTCTAAACTTTCACCTTGTAGACTTTTAATTAACAAATCTAGTTTTATTAATTTATTCCCTTATTTTGAAAAAAACAATGCCCATTTTTTCTGATTATTATGGTGGTCAGTCTGTCTCCTGCAGAAGCTTTTCACATTACATTCAGACAGAGCCGCTATTATGGTATTATGGTACTGCACCTCTCAGTTCCCAGACTGTTTGACTATTCACTTGAAATTTTTTGTTTCAAAAAGCCTGAAAAGGTGACCACTAAAACTTGAGCTCATTGGTCAGTTGATGGTGTCATTGGTTCTGATCCATGTCATACAGTCTGTGTTCCCACCTGAGCTCTTTGCGGAGAGACTGCTGTAAATCCCAAGTCTGTTGAAGCTGAGCCCGACAGAAAGTAAGGAAGGAGTCCAGAGTGGTGCTGAGCTTCTGGGCAGCTACACACGAGTCTGTCTGCTGGTTATCAATGACCTTCAGGCCACACACTGTCTTCTGCAGTGCAGATCTGAAAATAAAAGAGGAAAAGTGCTTTAATCTCAGAGATTCAGCCTGTGAACTAAAAGAAAAACAACAGACCTTTTTTGTCAGACCTTTTTGAACAATGAAAAGGTTTATGACTCATTTTTTTAAGATGATGGTTTTAAAACTGGCAGATGATAAATCAGTCACAGTCTGTATAAGACCCATTAATCTTGGCCTCTAATGGAGTGGGTAGAGATTTGTTTTGATATCAAAAAGTTTGAGGAGCTGTTCTTTTTTTTTCGCTTGGCAGTTCTTTATTAAATTAGAAACAGAGCTGCTGGATTTCAGCCTAGAAAAAATAAATACATGCATCAGCCTTAAACTAAAAGGGAACCCTGAGTAACTGAGGGTCTTGGAAGATGAAACTGCCACCCTAAGGCTAAGGATGTGCAAAGGAGAAGAATCCCAGCTATCCACCACAGAAACAGACTGGGAGGCTCTTCCACCAAAGCACCGGCCAGCTGTGGTCAGTGTTCAGTAAGAAAAAGCTTGAAACTCTACCAGGGAATAAGAAGGATAAAACGTCCCCGAGTTTTACACCATGATCCTTGTTTTTGTATAACATGCTCCTAAAATGTGCCTAACACACCAGAAGAGAGGAAACATGGTTGAGAGTCATAAACAGGTTCAGACAGATCAATTAAAAGTGCATTAAATTAGTTTTAATTTAAAATTTGTGCTGAAAAAAATACTGACTATATGTTGATGAGTTTTTTCACTCATTGGTTTCAGAACGTATAAATTCATAGCTGAGAATGAGTCTGCTACTTTACATACAGAACATTTAAAGGGATCCCTGATTAGCTGCAACACTAGACTTTATTTGATAAACATTTATTTTAACTGTAAAATAAAGACTGTAAAAATACTGTAGGATGTTCAGTTTTGTAAAAAAAAAAACAATTTAATATATTTTAACACGGATGGAGCCATTTTATTTATACGCAAAGCATTCTGGGTAAATGATGACATGGATAGGTCCTCGGTGTGAGCGAGCTATATCCACCCTGAAGGTTAATCTTGGACAATATCTGATGATCGACTCTTTTAAATGAAACCAGAGAGCGTTGACAGAGAGGAGAAG